AAAAAAAAAAAAAAAATCTGTATTCGGAATTTTTGTAGAACTCTTACAAATCAATAATAAGACAAATAAACAACGGGCAACGATTAAAATGGACATTTCACCAAAGATGTGAAATTGACGAGAAGCACATTAAGCACATCCCAAGGCGTTGTGTCTCACTAGTTACTAGGGAAACGCAAATCAAACCACAATGAGATTCCACTCCCTACCCACAAGAACGGCTTTAACCAAGAAGACAGTAACAACGTTGGTGAGAATGTGGAAAAACTGGACCCCTCGCACACTGCGGATAAGAATGTAATGGGGGCGACCACTTTGGAGAACAGTCTAGAAGTTCCTCAAAAGGTTAAACAGTTACCACATGACTCAGCTATTCCACTCCCAGGCACAAGGATACTTAAAAACATGGGTCCACCCAAAACCTCGCACACAACCATTCGTAACGGCATTATCCGTAACAGCCAAAATGTGCAAACGACTCAAACACCCACCACCCGATGGCTGGAAAAACAAAAAGTAGTATTAACACATCCACGTGGTGGAACATGATGCAGCCAGAAAGAGGAATGAAACGCCGACGCGTGCTGCGACGTGGCGAGACTTGGGAGCATTATGCTGCGAGGCAGAAGCCGGACACAGAAGGATAAAGGCTGCGTGATGCCACCTGCACGGAGTCCCCGGAGTGGCCAGGTTCATAAGAGACGCAACGGTGAACGGAGATCACCGAGGACTCGGGGGAAGCCGGAGGGGGCGCTGGCATTTAACAGGCGCAGAGTTTCGGTTTGGGAAGACGCAATGGGCTCGGGTGCAGACAGCGTCGTCGCGTGTACACGGCGCGTGTATGTATTTAATGCCACTGAACTGGACCCTTGGAAGTGGCTAAAATGGTAAATATTTATGCCGTATCTGTTTTATCACAATTTTCCAAATGCCGAATGAAATAAAAAGAGAAATTAAGTCGTGCAAAAGCTCACTGACAGAGCGGACTTTCCCAAGCGCGGTGCGCCCAGCCTACCTTGAAATGACGCTCCACGGTGGAAAGAAAGCGCACGTTGTCCGAGGCCTCCGTGTGGAACTTGAACAACTCGGTCAGGACCGGCTGCACGTTGGCCACGAGCATAGAGTCTGCCTCCTTGATCACATCCAAGACTTTTCTGACCACCGGGAGCTTTGTTTGCTCGTGAAGCGCACTTAAGGTCGCATTTCTTTCCCGCCAGAATTCAATTTCAGCCAGAGGGCCGTGACCCTGAGAGGTGACACAGACACACAGAGAACTCTTAGCATCAGTGTGAAGCGGCCACCTGCGGCGGTTTCTTCAGCACTTGTTTGTTCCTCCCCAACTTCTCCGGTCCACACAGGGTCTCCAGAGGTGCACTTCCAACCTCAGATGGCGCAATCAGAGCGAATGTCTCAGGGCACCGGGTGGGAATGCGAGGCAAAGACGCTCCACCTTTCTCTGGACTATGCGGTCTGCGGTCACGGGGCCAGAAACTACCGCACGTTGCTACCAGGAAGGAAACCAGCCTGAGGAAGAAGCCCCCTCACCTCCCCAAGAAGAGGCTGGAACCAAGAGATTCACAGAGAAACAAAGCCAGGGTCCTGATCAAACCGTACCTGAAGCCAGCCCTACCTCTGGACGTTTCAGTTATGTGGGGCAAGGAATACTCTTTCTGATTCGATCCAGGTGAGTTGGGTTTTGTGTTTCTGGCAGCCCGAGCATCGTGACTGACACACAATGTTAACTCTGTCAGTCCAGGCAGGAATCTGGTAGCAGGCTAACATCAGAAAGCCCAAGAATGATATCTTGGCTACGTTTACTTGGATGGTTTAAGGAAGTCACAAAACAGTAAGAAAAAGGCCAGAACATGCAGACCCTCGGCCTCTCGGCTCTTTCTCAGCATGGTAAGCGCAGCCTGGATCAGGGATCTTTGAACCCTGCACAAATTACCTGAGGTGTCTTCTTCAGCTGGTCCTGGACAGCTGCGGATATCTGATTCAGCCAGTTTATCACACATTGCTCCAAGACTTCAACGGTTTCCGGGTCAGCTGCCAGCTCAGACACCTCTCCCTCCACACTGACGCTCGGCATTTCTAACTTGATCTCACCTAGTAGGACAAAAACGGCCAGTCAGCCACTGGCTTGGGAAAAACGACTATGAAACAGTAATGTTCAGGTTTCTCTCCACACAGCAGTATAATGTCCGACACATCCGTTTTCCTAATCATGTCGCTATCTCGTTCTCTTCATTAGAATGCAATTAAAACATTTTAGGTAATTGTTCCAGTGTTAAGCTCCATGATGATGATTTAGTTATTTAAGATGTTCCCGAATTTACAACCTAGTGACTTCCACTTTTAAAAAATTGAACAAATAACCACAGCTCAACAGATACGTGAGACAACCCTCAGGATGAAACAGACAGTCAAAGATAAATCGGGGGGGAAATGACCTGAGAGGAAATTGAGACAATAGAAAGAAAAAAGGAAAATTCCCAAAAAGAAATCCCAACTCTTTGTCTCAGCGATTTGAGACAATATGGCATCCATGAGACAAGAACAGAATGCTATGAAAAAGGCACAGAGAATAAGAGGCGTGACTGTCAATCAGAGGTTGGGAAGGTAAGAGTTGAGGAACACTCCAGGGAGGTAGACGGCAAAGACAAAAGGATGGAAAATAGAAGAGATAAGAAAGAAAATCTATAGACATCTGTCCAACAGAAATTTTAACAAGAGGAAACAAAGATAAATAGGGAAAAGCTGCATAAAAAAAGAAAGATTATATACAATGTATTTTTATATATATAATACAGTCATTTAAAAAACTCACTGTGGGCCGGGCGCGGTGGCTCAGGCCTGTAATCCTAGCACTCTGGGAGGCCGAGGCGGGAGGACTGCTTGAGCTCAGGAGTTCGAGACCAGCCTGAGCAAGAGCAAGACCCCATCTCTACTATAAATAGAAAGAAATTAGCCGAACAACTAAAAATAGAAAAAATTAGCCGGGCATGGTGGCGCATGCCTGTAGTCCCAGCTACTCGGGGAGGCTGAGGCAGGAGGATCCCTTGAGCCCAGGAGTTTGAGGTTGCTGTGAGCTAGGCTGACACCATGGCACTCTAGCCCAGGCAACAGAATGAGATTCTGTCTAAAAAAAAAAAAAAAAAAAACAATCTGCAACACATCACCTGGCATTTATGATAGTATGCATCTTGAAGAAAAAGAATAAAAGAGCTTTTTAAATTAACAGCCAATAACCAACAAAAAGCTATTGGTAAATGTCCCATAAATAAAAACAAACGTCTTCCTCACAGTATTATAGAACAGGGGTCGGCAAACTTTTCTCAAAGAGCCAAACAGTAAATATTTCAGGTCTTGCAGGCCAAGAGGCAAAATCGAAGACAGAATGTAGGTGTCTGTATAACCGCTAAAAATGTAACCATTTAACACTAAAAACACCATTTGCAGCCCACAGGCCATTACAAACAGGCAGTGGGTCAGATTTGGCCATAATGTTCTGATCCTGTTATAGAGCATTACTTCACCTGCTTTTCTGATTTTTAAATAGTATATGCTGATTGTAAAAAAAAAATACAAAAAAAGAAAAGAAAAACCACCTTATTCTCACATCCTCATCAGTGACAGTCACCGATAACATTTTAAGGTATTTCCTGCCAGTGTTTTATCTAAAACACAAATGTATTTTTCACTCATCTACTTTTTTACACCAAGAACGAGACACATGATCATGTTTAAGATAATAAAAAAAAACAATTCTTCACATCTCTACTATGTTATCCCGATTCCAGGAGTGCAAGAAAGGGCAAAGGAAGGAAAACATTGAGCAGAAATACCAGAAAATGGGTATAAGAGACAAGGAAAGAAACACAGAGGTGTCGAGGGAGAAACCGCGCCTCTCGAGGAGGAGAAAAGAACATTCTAAATGGAAGCCAAAAAAATCTCGGAACATGCCATAAAAAGTTTGGATCTCTACATGTGTACGAAGTGGGGGGTGTTAAATTTTACTTTTAAAGGAAGAAAAAAGGTTATTTTCCTAGAATAACAATCCCATTTCTTAGGCCTTAATAGTCTTGTTGAGAAAGGTCCTTTGTCTTTTCACGATGCAAGACCCTAAAAATACAGCCACCACGCGAGACTCAGCTTCCTCACCAAGCCAGCCTGTTGGCCTCGCTGTTCTCTTCCCACGACACACACTCTCCTACTGACCCAGGCTCTGGGACTCTGCCCGTGCTGCCCACCCCATCGAAGGAGGTGCAGACCACCTCCGTGCAACGGGAGCTGCTACGTGCAACTTTCAGATGAGGTCCAACACCACCTCCTCCGTGAATCTCTCCTTGACTTCCCCAGCTTGGTCTCCCTCTTCCAAACCCTACAGACCCTAAGTATCTTTCTTTTTTTTTTTTTTTCCTAAGTATCTTTCTTAAGCTCCTTGTCCTGCCCTAGTCCTTAGGCACTGGATTCTAAGACACTTGAGGACAAAGATTGCGTCGTTCCTTTTTGTGTCTCTTACAATAATGATGAGCTCAGTTTCTTTCATGCACAGGTGTGAGCATGTAAACAAGAATTACTATAAATTAAAACCAAAAAGCTCCTGAATGCTTACATTGCCTTCTTAAAGTAAACTAATCGTTCTTAACTCAAGAGAAGAAAAACGGAGCCTCACCTTCCAGTTGCTGCATGGTTCTCTGAATACCGTTTGCAAATTTCTGAAGGTTCATTAAAAATTCATCCCGTATTAACTGAACACTGTGAGACTCTCCGGGTTCCCCGGGCACGCTGGAGAGGTCCACTTCAAACTTGGAGGAATCGGAGAACTCTCCGGGTGCAAGTCCCAAGGTCGCGTCCATCTTGTGCTGATTGAAGGACAATGCTGGCAAGAAGACCTGCAATGCCAAGTTAACGACACAGTCACACAATGTCATTTTCAGTAGTTCACGTACTTACGTTGCTTCCGGCTTTGAATACTCTCCTATACTGAGGTATAAATGTGCCCACGACCTGTTCGTGGAATAAACGAATCACGTGGCCTTAATCTCGGAAATGCTGGGATTGCTTCCTTTCCCCGTGTTTACCTGACATATGACATCCCTCAGCAAACGAAGCACGTGAGCATTTACGATTCCGTACTCCAGCGTTTCGGGCATGATTTCCATGGCCTCCTTCATGTCAGTGGCTTCGGCGACCGACTCTGAGTGGGAACAGACCAGACGTGAGATCAGTGCCAGAGCGGCCGACAGTCAACACTTCCGACGGTACAGAAATCTCCTTCTGCTCACGTCACTGAAAAGCCAAGTTCTGGTCACAGACTCAGAACAGATGCTCTTTTTGTATTTAAATAAATCCCTGGGCCTATGAGAAGCTGAAATAAATACAACACACTGTGGTTCTTTTTGATTTTTTAAGACAGGGTCTCATTCAGTTGCAGTGATGTCATCATAGCTCACTGCAGCCTCAAACTCTTCGGCTCAAGCCATCCTCCTGCCTCAGCCTCCCAAAGTGCTGGGATTCCAGGAGTGAGCCACCGCGCCCGGCCAGCCCTGTAGTTCACGGATCAGTACAGGCAGCGCCCGGGAGCTGCGCACAGTAGCCCACTGGAGTGTCCAAAGCTGGGCAAGAGCGGAAATAACTGGGGTTGCCTAGACATGTTTGCTGGATTCCTGGCTGCTACGGCCTGAATGGCCTGAAATTCACAGTCGAATCCCCAGTGTGACGGTATTAGGAGGTGGGGGTGTGGGAGGCGATTAGGCCGGGAGGGCACAATGGGATTAGTGCCTTATAAGAGGGACACAAGGGCTTGATCCCTGTCCCTCTGTGCTCCCACCGTGAGGACAGGAGAAGGCGCCATCTGTGCACCAGGAAGCCGCCCTCACCAGACACCGGATCTGCCGGCGCCTTGATCTTGGACTTCCCGGCACCCAGAACTGCGAGAACTAAATTGCTGTTTCAGCCGCCCTGTCTGTGACTCCTCCTCCAGCCAGCCCAGCTCAGACGCCGGCTCTGCCCGTCTCCACTCCCAACTGTTCCCCAGTCGTCACCAAAGCGTCTTCTGAGTCACGGGGTTTCTAAAAAGGTACACTTGGCGACCGCCTGCCCTCCCAATGCACGAGGTTTTATTTCATACATATTCACTTCACCCAACCAAGCATCAGCCACCACGGCAGACAGCACAGAGGGTCCTTGGACTCCTCGCTCCATGTAACTGGGACACAAAACAGAAGCACCACAGGTTGACCCGCTGGAGCGATTATGTCCCATGTGTCAGTCGTCACGCCTTTCCCTGAGTCCACAGACAGATGCACTGTCGCTCGCAGAACACATTTCCTTATATCAAAAACACTGCACTTGAATTGGTTTTAAAGGACCCAGAACTGCGCAAGAACCCGGCGTGGGGAAGAAGGCGACCTTGACATGGCGAAGGACCACCACAGAGAGACGAGCGGAATGAGGCTGACCGGCACTGAGGTCGGGCCGGAGCCTGGCGCCGCCCACCCCGGCCTCGGCTTTGCTGTGGATGAGGCTCTGAGGGGGGTCAGCAAGAGCTGGGAGCGCTCGGACGGGAACGCCCAGAAAGTGACCCTGCAGGGTGAACTTGGCCGCTGAGTGGCTCCTGCATTTTAAATCGCACAGCCACGCAGGGAGGCCACGCAGGGAGCCCACGAAAGCTCGTCTTGCAACTGGGCGTCGCGTGGCTCAGAATCTTCCTCTGACTGTTGTGAGCAGAGTCAGGAACACACACGTACCGTCGGTTCTTGTTCCCGGTCGTGACGCTCTGTAAAGTCACCACGACCGAGCACAGACTCGGAGGCTGAACCTTGCTCCCACCGGAAACACGGCGTTAGGGCCCTGTGCGTGGCTGGGCACCGCGTTGCATCCACCCGTCACCGCCTAACTTTGCTCCACGTGCGTTTGTTTCAAGACACTGAACCTAACATACAGCCCTGACTCGCTGAACTCACGGAAAACAGCTCGGTCATTCGCACCTGAACGAAGCTTCCCGAACACACCTGCTTGCTCCGTGAGGCACGTGGCAGCCTCCTGGCCCTTGGGAACACGGCACCTCCACGCTACACTTGGGGCCATTTAAAATAGCAAAAGCGCCAAGGAAAGCACAGAAATGCAAACAACATGGCATTAAATCGGCCGCGAGGAGGACGCCTGCTCACAGGACGAGGGCGAGACAGGAAGGCAGAGGTCGTCTTGTTCAAACTCATCCGGAACACGCAGCCCTGGGAGACTCGAATTTCCCTCACTCTTCACGGCCGTGATCGACCTCGAAAGCGCCACGAGTGTCGCTCGTGGGGTCACGAGCAAATGCCAGCGAGTGGGCCAAGTCGCGAGTAAGGAATCCAGGAAAAATGAGGATCGACTCTGTTAGTAAAAGGTTACGTTCTCAAGAAAATGTAAAAAGAGAACAAATCATGCACACACGTGCGTGCGCACATAACCCACCCCCCAACACACACACACACACACACACACACACACACCAGAAATATACCTTTGGTGTTTCGGAGAAAAAATACCACGTTCTGGTCCAGAAACTCCTCCGGAACGGGCGTGCACAGCATGTGGAGGTGCGTCTGCTCCACGATGGTCCGCACGAGTCTCTGAAACGCAGGGAACGGAACCGGCGCTCCTGAGATACACGCGTTCACACGAAGACCCCGAGATTCAAGCACACCCGAGGTCTCCCCCCGGCGCGGGGCAGATCTCGCTCCCTCCCGACGCAGCCACGGCCGCACGGCAGGAACGAGGGGACTGCGGCGCGGGGCGGAAACGCACCCAGACTCTGACTCTAAGCCCGACTCCTCTGTGGACGGGCCAGCACAGCCGCGTCCCAATTACCTGACCGGGAAAAGTCCAGACAGAGCTTTGCTAGGCCAGACCTTGCAACAAACCAGGCCTGACTTCTGTTTTGGGTTGGGGGGACACGTTCAGGAAGCAATTAAGTGCGATTTCACTAAGCACAGGCCACGCTGAATGCCGACGTCCTCGTCTGAAATGCCACCCTTGGGATTTTTGCAATAAAGCGTTCGCTCAGCAGGCCTGGGTTGTCCAACCGCCCCCCCATCCCCAGAGGTCTTCAGGCCTGGTCTGTGGCTCCTGGGTGACAACTTCTAAGCTTCTGGAATGTCCTGCCTGATGTGAGTGTCTCTGCATGCCTGGGGCCTTGGGCTAAGCCAGATAGCTTTTGCTAACCGCGTGATTCGTGGTGAATGCCTGTTTCCGTTTGCCTGGCATCCTGGTCACGCCCGTTTCAGGCTGACCTCTGGCGTGGTGGTGGGGGCTGGGTGCTGGGGAAGCTGAGTAACTGAAGTCAGCCATGTGGACGCTCCGCGCCTACGTGACTGTCCCCCACACACACCCTGACACTGAGGCTCAGGAGAGCCTCCCTGCTGGGCGATACTCCGTGTGAGCTGTCATCCACTAGCTACCGGGAGAGACAAGGGAAGCCCACACCTGCTTTCTCCTGGCCTCCACCCTGTGCACCTTTCCTGTGCTGACGCTCATCTGCATCCTTCCACCGGAATGAACGAGAGCCGCGAGCACAGCAGCTGTTCTGGGTCCCGTAAGTCCTTCTAGCCAACCGCTGAACCTGAGGGTGGTCTCGGGGACCCTCCGCACGGGGTCCTATAATCTCCACTCCGATACCATGAATCCCGTGGAGGGACTGTGCCCATCACCCTGCTCCCCAGCAGGCCGCAGCATCCCATCACCCCAGCGAGGAGGACCGAGGGCCGTGCGTACTTTGGTGGAGAGTTTTCCTGAAGTCTCTTTGTCCGTGTCTTCGCTCTCTGCGCTGGTCAAAGGTTGGCCGAGGGAACCACTTTTCCGCGGCAAACTCTTAGCTGCAAGACATTATTCCAAGTGTAAGATGAAATAAGAAAGTTAGGTTTCCTGCCGTCAAGATCAGGCAGGCCCGCGTTTTGTGTAACAGCATATTTGATTCAAAAGGCATGTTATCCAAGAGCTACACGGACAGGTTTTACGAATGAAGCCTTGACGTACATTATAACTGAAGACAGTTAGACTGCGTTTTTCGCATGTCGTCCATCAGAAATCGTGTGTGGGGGGGGGCGGTTTCCAGCTACAGTGTCCGTCATGTGGCTTCTCTGAGATTTTTCCTTTAAAAGGAGTTTATCATTAAGATGAGGATTACAGCTAATCTGTTAGCATTTATGGCTTTTTCACTATGAGACTCAAAACTTGTGCGGGACAAAAAGAAAAGCAGCCTAAGAAAAATGATGGCATCTTGGCCAGACACGGTAGCTCACGCCTCTAATCCCAGCACTCTGGGAGGCTGAGGCGGGAGGATCGCTTGAGGACAGGAGTTCAAGACCAGCCTGAGAAAGACCAAGACCCCGTCTCTACTAAAAATAGAAAAATTAGCCAGGCACGGTGGTGCTGCCTGTGGTCCCAGCTACTAGGGAGGTTGAGGCAGGAGGATCGCTTGAGCCCAGGAGTGTGAGGTTTCAGTGAGCTCCGATGACGCCACTGCACTCTAGCCAGAGCAAGACTCTGTCTCAAAAAAAAAAAAAGAACAAAAAAACAATGATTGCATCTCTCTCGAGCCCAATGTGATCGGTGCAGATCTGGAAACCTCGGAGGGCACCAAGTGTCAGCCCTGAGAGCGTCCGACAAGCCTGGCGATTGCGGAGCGGGGAGCTGTCCCTGGAACTCAGCTTTCCCTGACGGGCGCTGTGCCAAGTCACTGTGGCTTCGGAATCAACTCAGCATCGGGGGCTGAATCCTCTCTGCCACTGGTTTTCTCATCCTTAAAATGGGACAGTGGCAACCACTGGGCGGGGTCTGGAGGATTCCATTCCAGCAAGGGTGAGGGCCTGACACGCTGGCTGGCAGGAGGAGCGGTCCAGAGAGGGCCACGTTACCGGGGCACTAGCAACAGGCCACAGTAAACATGTGCTTACGAATGTACTCACTGCCACCTAGAAACGGTTACAATGGTAAGTTTCGTGTCATCGCTATTTTGCCACGATAAAAAGAACAAGAACACTTAAGCACCGCTTCATTTACTTTGTGGGAAAGGACTCCCCCAAGCCTCCCACCCAAGTCTCTCCTGCTCACGGATTTATCGGTGCCACAAACCCCCCTCCCCCACCAAGAGCCACTAGGATCGAAAACTGGGTCAAGGCATGTCGTTAAGGTCACATCGTCACAACAGAAATGACTCCAAGCCTGCAGAGGATCAGGAATGTCACGGGACACCCTGTGCAGGCACAGCGGCAAGCCTGGTCCAACGTCCCAACTGACTATCAGTAGAATCCTTGACTCAAAAATCGCTGTGCGTCGGCGGTTCCCCTGAGAGAAACGGCATCTGTCGTCCGCATGCCGCGCAGCCCTCGCCGCGGGAGAGAGCAGGCGGCGCACGCTCCGCGTGGAGCGGACACGGCGCGAGGACCGGTGTTCTCACGTCGTGCACTACACTGGCCTGACAGTGTCCCCCCCCAGCTACGTCCTCAGAGCGTGACCTTATTTGGAAATAAGATCTTCGCAGATGTTACTATGACGAGGCCACGCTGGATACGGGTGGGCGCTAACCCAATACGACCGGAGCATGTGTGAGAGGAGAGAGGACACGCGGTCACGCAGCGGAGCAGGCCGCAGTGGCGCAGCTGTGCGCGGAGGATGCTGCAGCCACCAGATGTCGGAGGCGGCCAGGAAGCGTCCTCCCCGCCGACCTTCAGAGGAAGCAGGGCCCTGGTGACACCTTGATTTTGGGCCTCTGGCCTCCAGAACTGAGAGAGGATGAATTTCTGCTGCTTTCAGCCCTCGAGTCGGTGGCGACTCGTGAGGACAGCCCTGGGAACCTACTGTGTGTATCTGTCACCAAGCCAGCAGTCCCCCTTATGCCTGGCACCCAGGGACAGCAGGAACCGAGGGCAGCTCCCCCCCCGTCCCGCCACCCTGCGCCCCGCACCTGGCGCTCTGTCCGTGGACTCCACTTTCTGAGACGCCGTCTCTTCTTCCTCATCTTCCTCTTCGAAGGCAACAGGTGTCTCGCCGTCTTTATAGCCACATAAATGGAAGAAAAGATAAAACGTCATTTTTCGCTGCACACAACACCCCCTATGTTTGCTTTCCGTGGAGCCGAGGGGTCGGGGCGCGGCCCTCGGAGACCCGTGCATGTCACAGCCATACAGAAAGGCACCAGCTTCCGGTGACCACGAGGAAGGTTTGTGCAAATTCTGCCAAGAGATGAAGGACACGAGAACGTTCACAGAGTCGCCACCAGCCCAGAGGAAATGTGAATGACCAAGAAGCATAACAAAGAGGCTCCAGGTTGCACAACACTATGAATGTATTTAACTGCGCTGAGCTGCACACTTAAAAATGGCCAAGATGGTAAAGTGTATGTTATCATAATAAAAAACTGAAGGGGAAAAGAGGCTCGCCTCCGCTAACATTTATATAAACATAAATATGAACAGAGGCAGGATGTGCAACCGCTCTGCATCTATGACACTGGCAAAAATCTAAAAATGTGACAACATCCAACGTCAGCAAGGCTGTTGGGGAACAGGCACCTCACCCACCATCGCTGGCATGTGACAGGCAGGGCCTTCCCAGAGGACAGTTTGGCAGGACCTGCCCCACCCAAATTGTAAACATGCACACCTGTTACGACACCAACGCCACTTCTGCACGTCTCCTACAGAAGTACGCAGAGCGCGCAAAGGTAGATGGATATTGTTACGCTGTTTGCAGAATGAAATACTCTAAAATGCTCAATGTCAATTAATCGGGGAGTGGGTAAGTCAAATACGGTACACGTATATATTTAAAATCTACAGTGTTAGGTAGATCCGTAAGTATTGACATGAACAAATCTCCAAGATACGTTGCGGGGTTGAGAGGGACAAGTCACAAAGCAGTAAGTATAGTACGATTTTATTTTTAGTTTTAGCAACTACATATGTATCTATATATGATCATTAAAAATATCATCATATATAGATACAGACAGACATAGACAGGTAAGTAGACAAATGGATAGAGATTTAGAAAGACAGGGAGGGAGATAGACAGACAGGTAGGTAGACAGATATTCGGAAAAAGAGCCAGCAGGGTACACACCGAACCAACAACAGTGGTTACCCACAGGAATGGGAGTAGGACTCAGGCTCAAGGGATGGTGAGGTGCTGCTTCTTCACTTTTTACTTTATATAATTCTATGTTATGTGAATTTTTTAGAGAACATGTATCCGTCAATACCTGTGTAACTTTGGAAATGTAAGCAAGTTATTAAATGATACATGCAGTATGAGTCCGTTTTGTTCTCTCAAGAAAGAGCACACGCACACCTACTAGAACAGCCTCCCGGGCCAGCTGCTGCCACCTCTGTCCCCACCCCGTCCCCTGAATCTCCCTGTCTCATTCCTAGCACTGTTAGCTGGGAGCAGAGAGAAGTCTTGACCAGGGGAGGGGCAGAAACAAGGAATGAAAGGACGCGCCACCCCACTGAAGGTCCTCCGGAGAGACCAGAGCCCCCCTAAAAGGATCCACTAAAGCTGTCCAAGGGTCTTTGTGAGCCTGTGGGCCTGATAAGCAGAGGGTGAGTGACAACAAGAGACGCAGACTTGGGGAGGAGGTCCCCTCTCCCCACCTGGCCAGAGCCCAACACCCAGTGCCACCTGGCACCTCCAGGCATGGTGGCTTCTCGCCACGCAGTGACAGCGGGAAAGAGCCGGAAACGGAGGGGAAGACCACAGGCAGAGGCAGCCGGAAACAGAACACAGCTGGCGGGGATCTCTGAGCACCCTTTAGCGGGTCCAGGAATGAACCAGGGGGACCCTCTGAAGTGAGACTGAATTCGGCTTCCACAAAGGATGGGGACATCCAACCAGGAGACATTTAAGCTAAACATGTGCCGGTAAACACAGCAGAAAACAGCCATCCCACTAGGCTTCTGCAAGCAGGTCAAGTCACATGCATTATTTTTTAGGGTCTTGGTATAATTTTATAACGTGTACAAAATCCAGGTTACTGAAACCGTGGCGCATGCTGAGTGGTCAATCCTGTTCGTGTGTTTTTGCATCCACAGTTTCACGTGGTGACAATGGAAGAGCCTAAATTCAAGGTCCCGTTACCATGTAATGTCCAGGTCCACAGGTCTGCCCCGCGGAGTAAGAGACAGGAAGGTCAGAGTCCAAAAGGTTATCATGTGGTCACGTCTCCGGGAGCCACTGGCAGCTTCTTGTTGTTGTTTATCTCTGGTTTTGGATTTCTTTACAATGAATACCTGTATTACTTTGTGCATGTAAATAATTCATCTTTAAAATAAGTGAATGTGGCCAGGTATGGTGGTTCATGTCTGTAATCTCAGCACTTTGGGAAGCCAAGGTGGGAGGATTGCTTGAATCCAGGAATTTGAGACCAGCCTGGGCAACATAGCAAGACCCATCTCTTCAAAAAATTTTTATAAATTAGCCAAGCTTGGTGGTGCATGCCTCAAGTCCCAGCTACTTGGTCCCAAGAGTTCAAGGTTACAGTGATCTATGATTGTGCCACTGAACTCCAGCCTGGGCTACAGAGCAATACCCTGTCTCTACAAAAAAAAGGAATAAATAAAGTAAAATAAATGAATGTGCCTAGTACCTTTAAAAAAAAAAGTATGCCTGGCCCCGCCATCCCCACCTGTGAACCTGTGAGAGGCCCAGTGTGGGACCCACAAGTCCTCATGCACTGCAGGCTGCAGGAGTGGCGGGAGCGCAGGACAGCCATCCCCACGCTGCTGCAAGGAGGCAACTTCTTCTGTGTCCTTCCTGGCATATTCCTGTCCCACGTCCCCGCACTCTGTCCTGCCTCCTCCTTCAACCCTGTGCTCCCTCCTCTGTGTCCCCGGCCTTTCGGAGCGGGCAGGCCTCCTGACTGGGGTGGGGACTCCCCTCCACAGACGCTCTGGGCACCCAGTCACTGTCATTTTTTGGTATTAAAGATGCTGCCTGTTCAACATAAACATTTTAAATCTGTAATTTTTCAAAGCCTTGCTTTGCCATTACTTTCCTTTTTAGCACATGAGGAGCCTCCAGAAACAGAAAGGGGCGCTCTTCTAACCCTCCCTGAGACCCTGCGACCGCCAAAGAGAGTGGGGGTGCCTGGGCCCCTCCCAGCACGGGGCACGGTCTACCCGGCCATTTCGTGTCACCCGACAGCGAATCCCACCGCCCACGTGGCCTTGGGCGGGTTACTTAACCCCCTCGGTGCCAGTTTGCTCTTCCGTAACGCGGGGGCGAATAACGCCCACCGCACAGGGCGGCTGCTGCGGAGGAAGGGCTGGGTGGGAGTCGCTGTGGGCTCACTCAGGGTCCGACTCTCCGCGCCGGCCGTGGCCCGGGAGGGCGGGGCGGCTGTGGTCGCGGGTTCAGCCGGTGGCTGCACGTGGCGGCGGCAGGAGGCACCTGCGCGGGCGGGCGGGGCGCGGCGGGCTCACCCATCTCCACCTCCACCTCCTCGGGCACCGCCGTGCGGTAGAAGAAGAGCGTGGCGGCGCCCTCCTCGTCGCTGCGCTGGTTGAGGAAGTGCAGGACGGTGTCCTCGCCCTCGCCGTCGTCGCGGTTCAGCAGCTCCTCGAAGATCTGCGGGTCGCTGAGGCCGAAGGCGGCGTACACGCGGTCGCGCATCCACAGCACCCGCAGGTCGTCCATGGCGCAGCGCCGGGCAGAGGGCGCCGGCGCCGGGTGCGTCCGTCGTAACGCGCCCCTAGCAACGGGCGCCCCGGCAATGGCCGCCGCGCGGGCCCACTCGGTCCCCGCCGCGCCCCGCTCCGCGCTCGCGGACGCCGCACCCCCACCCCCGCCACGGGGCCGCCGCGCGGGCCCGCCCGCGGTCCCGGGGAAGCGAGTCCCGGCAGGCGGCAGCGCTCCCCGTCGGCTGCGGGGCGGGACACGCACGGCCCGGAGCTGGCCTCGGGCCGCCGCGGCAGGGGAAGGAAGCGACCGCCCGCAGACCTCGCCGGGCGCCGACGCAAGGGGCGGGCGTCGCCTCCCGTAATTCTCACGACCCCCCGCCTGCAGGGCGCGAGCCCACCTTGCAGATAAGGAAGCTGAGGCAAGGGAGGTGGGAGACAAGGTCACGGCGGGAGGGGCAGGGGCAGAGCCAGGACCAGTACCGAGGGAAGGCCGCGGAGAAGCAAGTTCACGGCGGGGGACTGCGGTACAAAATCAGGGAAGAGGGGGCAGAGTTCTTCGGCTTTGTAGCCAAGACAAAGCATAATAAAGCGAAACACCCGTTTTAAAAATATAAATGTATTTATTTGTCATTAGTAAAAGGAAGTTCAGTACTGATAGGAAGATGCAATTTGTCCTTTCATGCATTTGTGGAGCAAAATACGAACTTGTTCATTGTCATTTCCCCTCACGAGGAGCTGAGCCCCCAGATGACTAGGCTGACCCTTAGAACCTAACCTTCTTGTTAGATTTTCCCATCAAGGAACAAGTGGAATGTTCTACGTATTTCTTAAAATTCTAAACCAAATCTCAGCACTAATGGCTTGACTGTAGGAAAACTACTACTCCGAACTGCCTTATTTCCATCATCTTGAATTAAGATTTCTTTTTTTTTCTTTATTATTCTTACTTTTCCTTTGGCACCAAAAGATTTCTTAATAACCTTCTTGGAGATATTCCATATGGCATGCAAGCAAACCAGGCTTCAAATTTTTAAGAGAAATTTGTTTTTAAATGCAGGCTGCAGAACAGGTATAGATGTTACTTTTTTGTTTTCCAAAATGAATCAGGCTCTAAAATGTCTGAATACTTAATTCATAAGCATCACCAGTTACCTATGCTATAGATATTCTATTTCTTATTAAACTACTGCAGGTTGAACACTGAGACCAGAATACTGTAAAACATCCATTCCAGAAATGAGGACGGAGCAGCATTCGGTGAAAGAGGAGTCTCTGCAAAGTCCTGTCTGGGACAGCAAGTCCACAGAGCTCAGCACAACCCAGGGTCCCTCTCAGAGCACCCTCCGTGGTCCTTAACTGACCTCGACTGCATCACGGCAAGCAGTCTCCACCCTGGCGAGATGAAATCCAATTCTATTTTATTGCAGAAATCCCTTGGGCTTTTATTTTAGGACTCCAATAACATATGGCAATAAACATCTGAATGAAAACTGAAACTGTGGCTGTCATGACATTTATCCTTAGGAAAATAAAGAGATATCTACCATCATCCAGACACTCACCATCTTTTCCTCTGGGTATCTGCTGTCAAGGGAATGAAAAATGTCTTAAAAACTGGACGCATAATAGGTTCTAGCAAGTTGCTTTAAAACAAAACAAAACGAGCAACCACTCTGGGAGCACGACATCAGAGCCGATCGCTTTATAAAGAAATAAAATTGGGCTGGGCGCAGTGGCTCACACCTGTAATCCTAGCACTCTGGGAGGCCGAGGGTGGATCGCTCAAGGTCAGGAGTTCGAGATCAGCCTGAGCAAGAGTGAGACCCCCGTCTCTACTAAAAATAGAAAGAAATTATTTGGACAACTAAAAATCTATATAGAAAAAATTAGCCAGGCATGGTGGTGCATGCCTGTAGTCCCAGCTACTTGGGAGGCTGAGGCAGGAGGATCGCTCAAGCCCAGGAGTTTGAGGTTGCTGTGAGCTGGGCTGACGCCATGGCACTCTACTCCGGGCAACAGACTGAGACTCTGTCTCAAAAAAAAATAAAACAAAATAAAATTTCCCCTGGTATCTACAAGATACCATATCAAACTATTCCCAGAGAGTTCTTTCACAAAAGTTAGGACATAATTACATTCTGCATAACCATTGCACAGATTCCAACTGGAAAAAGACGCTTCACCCTGTTCTGCATCCCAGTAGGAGGTGTTCATTGGAAAGAGAGTGGCGCCCATGACAATTGCCAGCAGGGAGCAGTAGAAGATTCCAGCGGACAGAGGAGGTGTGCCCTTTGTTTACTAATCAGCTAATAGTGCCCAGAATGAAGTCCTGGGTTTCCTAGGGATGAAGTAGTTACTACTGTTTTTATGACAGATCCTTGGAGTAAAGTAAGGGAAATGACACCTTGTGTGGGACATGAGGTAAAAAACAACCTTGAAATCTGAACAGCATTACTTGGGTTTCATATTCCCCCAATAGAAGTGCCCAACATTACCCCTTTCTGGGGAAACTTAACTTTGAGAGCAAAATCATTTCCAAGAGTTTCATGAGCACTGTTTTACGTTTGATAACTTAATATGAGGGACAAAAAGCAGGAAGTCCAAACTGGCCATGGGTAACCTCTCACCAAGCAGCAGCACGGAGTCCTCACTAGGATTAAGAAGGTTTAGTTTAGAGTCACGGCTCCGTCAGACGATGTTCAGTCCAGGCCTCTCGGCAAACAGGCCTTGAAATTACCTGCAAAGATCTCCTTAAACGCAGTGCTGCCATAATGTCACTTGTCGTGAAAGTGCCGGAGTCTCTACTACTAAGCAGGGTGAAGGAGTCCGGGGGCAGACAGGCCTTTAAACGTGTGTTACTCGAAATTTTAAGAAAGTGAAAATAATTATCTAAAATCAATTAAAGTAAAATATGAAAAATGAACACAATTTACAAGATTATGGTATAGATCAAAGCATTCAATAGGACTCAAATTCACATAAAACTAAATGTCAAGTGAATAGATGAATTTAAACTAAGGATTATAAATTAATGGCATAGTAAGAATTATTAATAGTTTTCAACTGATCTAAATAGTGTTTGAAGGTTTAAATTAACTCTAAATACCTTTATCAGACCTTTATTTAGAAATAGTCTGAAAATAAAAAATTATAATTATACTGTTCTCAAGGATAAGTGCAATCTCTTCATGGTAAAATATCTTTACATTTTGTTACAAAAAATATACAAAATACTACTTTTTACCCTTCCTTCACTCAGTATAAACCCTTTTGGTTCAGTAACATCAGCCAAGCTGGTCACTAAGTTCAAATTATATTCATATTAGATCTTCTACTATCAAACTGGGTTCTAAGGCTCAGTATACAGTTTATCTTTCCAAACATACAATGATCATAATTGGTTTTATGAAAGGGTAACAGCATAAGAGTCTTTAAAAAAATATACAAATGGGATAACCATTTGTTGTATGTTTTATAATACTTTATCCCATTTCCTGGAATTATTAAAACAAAATTGTAGAAACAATCCTCTACCTGTAATTCTAGATAGCATATGATAAAAAACATTTGCATATTTTTTAATCAAGCAGAATAAATGTGAATCTTTTGATAATCCGTCATTAAATTTTTTTAAAAACCATGCTTACTCAGCAGTTGGAAAATATTATCTGATAACTTCAGGTGACAGAATAACTTTGTTTTTTTTTAATAAAGGTTAAAGGAATCAAGTATCTAAGACCACTTTTTAATCAGCCATCCAAAATTGGCTTCTCTGCCCCAATGCTATATTTTAAAAAACAATTTTAACATAACAGTTGGCATTAACTTATATTTGCTCATCATAAAAACCAAAAGAAATTTATATACCTGAAATTGGCAAACTATACAAAATATTTAACAGAGGAGGAAGAGGCATATCTTACAGAATTATTTGGCTGTGTCATAAGGCAATCAATGAAGACGGAATTTTTCCTATCGCCAGTTTGACGGGAGTGAAATTCTATGACATGATACTTCTCCACGAACTTGAAAGCGTTGGGTTACGGCAGGGTGATCACACCACACTGTCGTCCTTATTGAACTTCGACGAAAGTAGACTGAATGAGAAAGGAACAAATTTGGTGCCTGCACCAACGTAGAATTTGTTCTGAAATTCTACCCTAAAAAAAGAAAATAGATGTATTAAATAGAAGATTGTGAAATAACATTCCTGTTTCTTAAAACATTTATATGTTAAAAAAAAAAATTACTGTGCTGGAATTGCTTCATTCCATAACATGCTCTTAGCACAAATATTTTCATTTAGATAAACACCTCCCGCCCCCACGCCAGCTGTCCAAGTGTGTGACGGGAACTTTCACTGGTGCGTCCTGCCACCTTTGTCACACTGCCGGGCATACAGGGGGCACACGCACGAGTAACTGGAACCTCTCTCTCCACTGAGGACGCTGGATGCAGAGAGGTAATGTGATATATACTATAAAACACAAATACGTAAGAAGTATTCTGCAGTAAGATAAAGCAATCTGTCAGACCCAAAGTGAACTAAGAGTATAAAACATCTGCAACGATTCCGTAAGCTGAAACGTGCAAATATGAACAGTGGTAACAGTTCAGAAACAAATACAATTTTAACTTGGAAGATCTGAATACAGATCCCAAAGGCAAGAAGGGAAAAACTAGCCTATGTCAAGCACTAGATTTCGGGGAGATTCTGTATGTTTAGGGGGGAAGGGTTATATTTTTTTACATAACAGTCCCAAGGCTAAATCTCAAACTCACCAATGGAGGCGTATGGCGTGGAGAAACGCAGAAAGCCCTTCCATGACCAAAAGGATGAAAACTGTCAACACTGCGAAGAGAGCGATCACCGGGAGCAGCAGCAAGACCCCGTACGTGGTGTCCACGCGAAGGCCCACGCGCATCAGCATGGCCCACAGCACGTCGGATAGCTCTGAAAAGGAATCGTGGAGCTCACGTCGTTACGTTCATCTCTGAGCTGTCATCCCATAAAATGACATACACATGTGCATATCACGTACGTAACCTGCTTTGCATGTAAAAGTTACCCAGCTCCTTAATTGTCTTCAACACCGAGGAGGACTTGGCGTTCCAGAAAACTCAGAGGCCGGCCTACGGACGGGAGATCCCGACCCAGACGGCGGTCGGGTTAGCGCCGTCCTGGGGCAGCCCTGGCCCCGCAGCGGGAGCCAGACCTCCGGGCCGGCTCTGCCCTGGCAGACCGACTGGGTGACCCCGAGTAGAGCACCAACCCTCCCTGGGCTCCGTCGCCTCCTCTGCAAAACGGAGATGAGGGACCACATGGGCTGCAAATTCCAGACCTTCGGCTATGCCTATAAAAATATCACTGTAATAAAAAAAAAAAAAACAAAATCCTCTGGTCTGGCACTTTCCACAAGGACCAGCAGCCTTGCTGCACACAGTAGGCAGGGGCACGACAGCGACCACGCGGTCAAAGCCGTCCAAAGCATCCTTGTCCATCCATCCAGGGGAAACTATGATTGTTCTGTGGCCCTTAAAATTTCTGTCAAAACATTAAAACTCTCTTGTTGTTGGTTATGGGGAAATAAAAAAACAGTAAACCAATCTTTAAAACATTAGAAGCGCTGAGGAGTGAAGTGTTTTCTTTCGCGGGCGGTTTGAACAGCACTTGCTTTCCTCTTGCTGTACAGCTCGGCAAGCTGAGCGACCTGATGCGGAGCAAGTGTCTTTTCTGCCATGCGCGCAACCGCCATGTTCTGCCCTAAGTTTGGATCCGTCCCAACACCGCACCTGTGCACCTTCGGCGTCCTGGGCCGTCTCTGAGCACCCTTCTGGGCCGCCGGCGTCTTCACCGCCCCCTGTGCCCTCGCTCAGGTCGGCAAGCCCGCCCGCACCCGCTCCCCTGGCCGCGGACGTGGGGCCTCCTGCACGCCCACGGTCGCTGTCCCACCGCCCCACTGATGGTCTATTGGAACTTCGAGCGCTATCACTTTTGCTGTCTTTGCTGCGCTTTTGTCTTGGCCGACGCTCTCTTTCGGTTAGCCATTTTTGTAAAATATCCCAGGGGTTTGCCAGGGAACAAGAAGGAGGCAACATCACCCACGCTCGGAATAGCAGATGCAGTCACCAAACACCAATGCTCTGAAAGAAGTGTGGTGACTGCCACTGATCGCGACGTGCAAGCGTGTTACGTGCGTGATCTGTGGCCCAAAGAGCGCGCGGCTCAGTGTGTACCTTGCACACGTGCTCACAGACAGTGGACTGTGATGACTGATTCGGGCCGTGTTGTTGGAGAACAGGTGTCATTTGACTCAACAGTGGGAACTAAAACTTGTGCTTCATCGGACCACGCAGAGGGAGGAATGCCTTAGTCAAAACTGTTAGCCAGCATTGTTTCAGGACTTGCTCAAGATATATTAATGAATATTCACACTTAGTAAAGCAGGACTGAACAAAATAACAGTAAAAACAAAAGCAGTAACAGTAACAGTAGAGACTGAACAGGTTCCCAGGCCTTCTCGGCCTGTTTTCTCAGCACCCCCAAAAGAAACAGCCGGGAGACCTGTGCACTCGCCAGCTAATGGCACGAGTTCACACAGTAACTGAAAGATGGTGCCATGTTTCCCCCAAAAACTTAAACTGCCCCACGGTGTCTCCCATGAGCTCACTGTGGCGCCACAGGTGTTTCAACAGGGTCTTGGGGACAGGTCTGAGCCAGAACTTACGTGCGTGCGCCAGACTGAGCGCCCAGAGCCGCAGGTAGGACGCGGTGTTGGAGATGCAGCCGAGACAGTACTCGATGGAGTGAATGACTTGGGTCATGAGGATTTCTCCAAAATTGAACTGGGAGAGATCACACACGAGTTAGATTCGCTGCATCACACGTGCGCTCGCACGGGTTAAGCGTGCTCCGCCTTCAGGAGCACAAGGGAAGAACCGCCTTCTGGAACGCTGGTGAGAACACCCAGAGGGGGAGGAAAAGGAACCCCAAGACTCAGTTCTGCTCCCAGCTCCGCCACCGCCCAGCTCCACAAGACTCCCCACCCTCACCAGCCCCCCGCCACCTCTAGCCTCAGTTTCCCCCGTGCAAACAGAGGGGCCGGACTAGAGGAGGTGAGATTGCCACAGCCCAGGATGGCAACACCCTCAGATGGCCCAGTGGGGCTCCGGAGCTGGTCTGACTGTGGCTGTTTACCAACAAGAGTAAAGGCCACTAGTGACTCAGCTAGCTTAATAGATAGGAGAATCCCAAATACAGAGCCAAGAAGGGAAAATTATAAAAGGGGTCCCTGATGGTGAAAAGGCGACAAAGTACCAGCAAGAAGATTCCAATGCTCTTTCCAGCTCTGCTTTCTGTTTTCCTGTGATCTTATAAGCCTAATTATTAATTGTCTCAAAATACTAAATTACATAACTATAAAGTGTTGATTATGAGAAATTTTGTTTGGTCTTCACTAAATGGCCACATAAGGTTTCCAAGAAAAGAAAGGCGATCGTGGACGATATGCTCTGTGTGTCTGCCCAGGACAGCACCTCCTTTCTCTGGGGGGAACTACTACTTCCTCTGTCCAGCCTTGTGCCCAGCCCTCGCCACAGCTGTGCGGGACTGAATTATGCTCCCAAAATCCATATGCTGAAGCCCTAACCCCAATGTGACTGTATTTGGAGACAGGACCTTTAAGAAGGTTAAATGAGGCCCTGAGGGTGAGGGTGACCCCGCTACTGCTGTTCCCAGAGGAAGGGCAGGAAACCAGGGCGCAGACACACAGAGGAAGGGCCATGTGAGGCCACGGCGAGAAGGCAGCTGTCTGCAAGCGAGGACAGAGGCCTCAGGAGAAACCAACCCTGCGAACGTCTTGATGCTGGACTTCCAGCCTCCAGAACGGTGAGAAACACATTTCCATCAATTAAGCCACCCTGTCTGTGGCATGAGGTTATGGCAGCCCCGGCAGATTAAGACCAGTCACTGGTCCAGCCAGGGCAAGTGGCCCTAGCCAGGCCAATCATGGTATCTCCGTGAGATTTTCCGTACTAGTCATGAGAGGTAGGAAGGCTTTCCTCTCTGATTGAAAGACTGAAAAAAATAAGCCCAGGGCTACCTGTGGCCATGGTTCCAACATCATTGGGCCAACCAGCTTCAGAATATAGAGCAAACTTACAAAAGAAAAAAACAACCAACCAAGCCCTCTTAGAATTGGAGATTCAGAAATTGCAATCACCCTGAAACCAACTCTACTTCTGTCCCGACATGAGCCAGTAGATTTCCCTTTGAAATCCGAGTAAACTGGGTCTCTATGTCTCGTAACTATAGAAAGTTCTGGGCCAGGAGCAGTGGCTCACACCTATAATCCCAGCACTCTGAGAGGTCAAGGCGGAGGATCGCCTGAGCTCAGGAGTTTGAGACCACCCTGAGCAAGAGCGAGCCCTCGTCTCTACAAAAAATAGAAAAATTAGCTGAGTGTTGGTGGCACATGCCTATAGTCCCAGCTACTCAGGAGGCTGAGGCAGGAGGATCGCTTGAGCCCAGGAGTTTGAGGCTGCAGTGAGCTGTGATGATGCCACT